AATGTTTAATCGCTTTCTAATTCCTAGCCAAATCAACTCAGAGAATCTTTGGGAGCTCTGAAGCCATAGTGCATATAAAATTCCTCACCGCTGGATTTTTGGCCTTTAACTCGTGTACGGCCTTCATCATTCCTAAAAACGTCTGGTTTTTGTTCTCCATTATTTTGGTCAGGTTTGCGACAGCTTTTGGCAACTCATTGACAAGAGCCGTGAAATTCTGCATCATTTCTTCCGTGTACTTCGCCTTCTTATCGAAGAAAGCCTGTACTGGTCCCTGAAAGAACCGCAACCTTTTCTCTAATTTCGAGAGCACGGCTATCGTGGTCATACCTGAATGTTGTATTTCTTTGCCCAGGCCATGATCTGCTCCTTCTGCTCAGCGATTGTCAATGACTTGTTGAAAAGGATCTTATAGTACTCGTCTCGAGCAGTCCGGCTGAGACCCTTCAGGAATGGTGGATGGAAGAGCTCCCTCCATGCGTGAGCCGCCGTTGCAGCAAAGAGGAGCAGTATAAGTAGTTTCATCCTGTGAAACTTATTTTTATAATAGGATAACCTGAGTGAACTGAGGAAGAAATGAAGGAACAGGCAAGAGGAAGGGTAGAGGCTAACGCTCAGAAGGTGAAGACTTAGCTGGAAAGGCATTGCAATGCACGGTCTGCCACCCTCTTCAACCGCTTCCCTTATATTCCCGATTTCGGTAATATGTGACTTATATAAACACGATATCTATGGATCGGGAGACGTTGTGCAAACATAGGTTTAGTTCTGGAATATTGTTCCCCATTTAGGGTATCATTTTCACAAAAACATACGAATTGAAAAGAAAATTACTTATTGGAATTTGTCATTTTCACCCATTATCTCGGACAAATCCTGTAGTGGGTGAGGCAGTTATCACTACTCCACTATTTCGGTATCCCCATTTTGGAATTCTTTTTTGGAATTCGAAAAGACTCGAATTCTTCCACGCTCACTTGTTGAAACCTCGGGTAACTTATCAGGAATATTATTATTAACTTATCAGGAACAGCACAGCTAATATCATACAGGATGTCCCAAATTTATGAGCGCCTATATGTACACAGCTATATATTGTATTTCGAGCATTTAAGCGGAGAATGCTGGACGAATCCATATGCAGGAGGTGGGGGAGGGCGAAAAAAATGTCACTTCTCTTACATTCAAAACGTAATTATTTGGTAGCTAGACAAACCAAGAGACCTCAGCTGATTACTTAAAGCCGCTCCGGATTGGCGCGCTAAGCCTGTTCCACCAGGGGGTAGTAGGCAGGTGGACAAGTGTTGATGTCGGGCCCCTTTTGCGGCTTGAAAGTACGCGACAAAGGCGCAAGGAGCTCGTCCAACCCGCAACTCACACCTTCGTCCGCAAGCCCCACCCTTCGCTGTCGGTTGCCACGTGGCGCTGCTTGAAAAGCGCGGGCGCATTTGAGGCAGTGGTCCCAGCGCGATCCAATGTTATTGACACTGGAGCAAGTAGAGTTAGGTTCGTGAAACTCGTCCAATTCGCCTCTCTCTATCCCAAGGCGGAATGTGGCTGAGATAGGGGAGGTCTCTGTACGGGGCGTAATTGGTGGTTTCGTCTGCTTTCCTTCTCTTTTACAGACCACCTCTCACCTATAATCACAACTGATACGCTTTTACCGATACACATTTTTATCCCGTAAGCTTTGCTTTAAGAGCCCATTATAGTCTCAGTCAAATTCACTATAAGCCTCTACACTGACGACATCAGAAGATTTTCCCACGGAAACATTGTGCGCGGTACGAGCTCAACGAGGTCGTTGAGATACCATAGACGATTACGACGTCTCTGAAACGCAGGTCAAAAGCGGTTTTGCACATTCACAGCTAATGTCTCTGGGAAGCTATTCAACAATTAATTCACTGAAGAAATTATGTAGCAGCTTCAGGTCGGAGCGATTACGGTAAGCCTCGTTGAGCTCGACGGTGACGGCAGATGACGTCATATTCTGGAACGATGGGGGAGCGAAGAGCTTGTCCTGCTGTAATGGCGGACACCTAGTGATCTCTGCGCTAACACATTCATAACACAGCAATCTTCGCGCGCCAAAAATTAATATGTGCGCTGTAGCGGCGGGTGATTTTTGCCCCCCCCCCCCTGTCTAAATCCACTGGCGCCTAATGTGCAACAATTGTGAAACATCAGATTTGAAGTTACATCGACGAATCCAAGCTTTGATAATCCCTTCTTGGTACTGTCTATATCTTCCTAGGCTTTCTTCACTGCTGCTTCCGTTGACTCAAGACTGTGATGCGAACTCGACAACTTTACTTTCGTTTAATGACCACATTAAGAAGTGATGTGAGTGTGTAAACTGGTGAAAATAGATGGCCATTCTTCGGTGCGTCTATGAAAAGATCACTACACCAACAAGAAGGTTACAAAAAGCCCTCACTGAAATTAGTAGCAAAATAACGGATTAATAACGATCTTTTGTGTTTAAAATTTGCTAATTTATGGCCCATAATATTGGGACTCCCTGCAATAATATATTCACGTCCTAAAGGCAAAGCGGTCCAGTCCGGTAGAAGCCGCCTCTTGGAAAAAACCCTCCAGAACAACTTTACTTACACCGCTTGTCAAAGACGCAATGATTGCAAGGATTGCTTCCTAGAACCAATTTTCAAGTGGCGTTCCCCATGCTTTCAAATTGTAGCTTGCGTTTTGCCGGCCTTGTCAAAATGCGGGTAAAAGTCGAATAAATAGGCATGTGGAATTTATACATTTTAATGCATTCGCGAGTCATATGCATGGCGCACTCTGAGCAGGTTAGCCTGCGTTCCGTTAAGAATAACGCTATTACCACGTATTGATCTGAAAAGATGTTTTGCCCTAAGATGACCAATTGATTAATTCATCTGGTCTCCCTCCTTGTTGACGCAGTTTATTGGATGACAAAGATAGGTAAAAATACTCCACTGATTATTCCATAAAATTTTAAATGTGGTCGTTTTGTGCGCCTTTTTCGGCATTACATTGCAGAACGGTTTCAAAATATTTGCAAAGCATTAAAGGATATCATATACGTGGCATCATATTTGGTTGAAAAGTTAGTGGTCATAGAGGCATTCATCCAGAGGTTTCCAATGTTGAGTGTTTGCAGAATCGTCAATCGAGGAGGCCTTTAAGAAGGCAGCGCTTACGGTAGATACCTTGGTGGTTCAGAGGAGTACATTCTGGGCAACCTGTGGCAGGGAAATCCTTCAAGAAACGGGACGCCCTCTGGCCGTTCCTGTTCGCCCATGGACAGGCAGCGGCTAAGACACCGGCCGTGTGGACGAGTTGACCGCATGCGTTAGGAGGCACTGTCCCAGGCCCTGCTCCAGTCGGTGATGCACGTATTTTCTGCTTTATTTATGCGCTTTTGCTTCATTTGTCATATTCATCGCCATCCCAAAATTTCACTAATCTTCATTGCTCACGTAACGAAAGGACAAGCTCTCTCAGGTGTTCTATGATTTCTCTCGTCGGCAGCGAACGCAGCTAACCCAATGATGAGAAGCCAAAAAATATTAGATCTTCTAAGAAAAGTCCTACGCTCCTTGTACTACCGCACGCATACGTCTCCGCTCAAGTAAAACGTTTTGAATTGGAATAAAAGCCTTGCGGTTTACACACATTCGCTAATAAGAGCAGTTTAGTAGAGATAAATGCTGGAGTGCTTTATTTTAGGAGCGATGAACAGGCGGAGGCTATTTCAACACCATCTTTGGTTTTTCTGAGCTTTCCTATAAAGAAGCTACCTGTTGTTTTTGTTTGTTAATTGCTGTTTTTGGGCACCGCTAGCCGTGAATGTTTCACAAGAATACTGGGTTATGAATAAAACTTTTGCCCCACAGGAGCTGAACCCGCACCACTCGCTTACCAGACAAAATAAATAAATTCACGCCACCGAGACCGAATGGAGGGCATAGTTAGGGCGAAATTGTGCATCACTAGCGTAACTTGTCGCACTTGCCTGGTAAGCGAGAGCTGCGGGTGTGAGTCCCGCCTGGGGTGAAAGCTTTGTTCATGAACAAGTATTCTTGTGTAGCTTCCTCTGTTCAGGGCCCAGCACTTGCTACCTCTAGCTTCGCAGACCATGTTGTGGAGCACTCATGATCGCAGAAGATTCCAGTGAATTCCCTCCATTCCAACCTACGGGGTTGATCCATGCCTTCACTTAT